AAACATTGAACCTGGCTTCTGGGGGCTTCCCGATTAAGGAAACGAGGCTTCAGTTTCAGATGGCATGCATTCGGCTATATTAGGATCAGGCATTCCCCCCTGAAGGAGGGGGCATGCATGACCCTTTTGGCCCCTTCTTAGAGGGGCCAAGTCAAAGACGCTGAGAGCTTCACTTATTTGGGCCCACGGGTCTCCCATAAAGGGAAAGTTCAGACAGAACCCCACAGGTGGCTTTCACCAACTCAGACAGACACCCCCAGTCCCTGTGATTATCAGACCCCATCTCTCTCTCTCTCTTTAAATAGATTTCAGAGGGGTCGGGAGACGCAGAGAGATAGACACTTCAGTGATGAGAAGGAATCTTTGATCGGCTGCCTCCTGCATGCCCCCTCCTGGGGATGGAGCCAGCAACCCGGGCATGTGCCCTGCCCGGGAATCAAACCACGACCTCCTGGTTCATAGGTAAACGCTCACCCACTGAGCCACCCCAGCCGGGCTATTTGGTTTTTTTTTTGATGGGCAGCGCTCCTCCGTGGCCCCCTGCCTCTCTCCTCAAACTGGTCCAGAATCAGCCCTTCCTCCTTCCTCGGGCTGCCCCCCCCCCCCCCCCCCCCGCCCCTGTCCCGCAGGCAGGTCAGGAGTGAGGCCTCTGCAGGATCTGGCTGATTTGGCAAAGCTTCACCTAACCCGGCCGGTGGGATGGATGCCACTTGAGCCTGGCTTTCCTGCAGGGAGAGGAAGGGCGGGGGAGCCCGGGGGCCAGTTCTCAGACATAAACAGTCAGTTCCCATTACCTGGGTAAATTCTACGAATCCCTGCAAACACGGAATCAGTGACTCCTGAACCGTCGCGCTGGGGGAATCGGGATGAGGGCCCCTGTGTGCCTCTCAACACAACTCTTCATCAGCCAATCGATACATAACCTGCCTCGGGTGTGCTTCTGCTTAAAGACATCTCATTTACCCTATTGCCGACCCCATTCACAACGAGCCCAGGGCCGGCAGCTCCAAACCCCGAGGCATGTCCCAGCCTTTTTAAGTAGCGAGGTCACCAAAAAATGTCACGGAAGCATAAAAACCGGGCAGTCCACCCAAAAAGACACTCGAGTACAGTAGGAGCTGGGAGGAGAGGGCGGAGCGCCCCTTGCTCCGGCTCAGCTTGGAACACGCGCTCTGGGGGGCTCAGATGTTCCCCTGCTCCCCGGGGCCTGCCAACGCCATGCACGCACGCCCCTGAGTGTGGGTCTGGGTTGTAAATGAATGTTAGCAAGGAGGCAAGTCACAAATACAGGATCCGAGAATAGTGAGTGTTGACCACACTTCCCCAGCCCTCAGGAGAGGAGGGGAAGTGGGGGATTTGGTGGGGAAAGTTCAGGTTCACCGGCCTTTGGAAGGGCCCAGCGGCTTCCCCGAGAGCTTCCTTCCCGCCCCATCGCAGGCGGAGCCATCACCAGGCTTCACCTACAGGCCCTCCCCAGTCTCAGCCCCTCACTCCTCCATCCCCATAGCAAGCTGTGCTCCTTTTCTTGCTGGTCTCCACACACACACACCGAGCCTGCGCCTCCGTGGGCCTTTGCACATGCTGTTCCCTCTGCCTGGCATGCTCTTCCCTGCGGGCAGCGCCCCAGCTCACGCCTTTCCTCTCTGCAGGTCTCCGTGGACATGCCACCTGCTCAGAACGGCCTTTCCTTGCTGACTTGTCCCAGTAGCTCCCTCCGTCAGCGTGTCCCCTCCCGTGGCTTGTGTTTCCGCAGAGCCCTTGTCCCCAGCTGACACATCACCTAATCATTCACTTCTCCGTTGTCGGTCCCCCCCCCCACTAGGATGCCGGCTTTGTTTGGTCCCGGCTGTGTCCCCAGGGCTTCCAACTACATCCTCAATAAATGACTGTGCTGCATGAACAGATGTTGGAGACTCAGTTCCTTTAACCAGGACCACGCTCTGTGCGTGACGTTATTTCAAAGAATGAAGTGGAAGAGGAGAATATGCAATAAATGGCAAGGGCGGGCAGACACCAGATATGTGCATTAGGAAGTATCCAATGGGAAAATTATAGAGGGAATTGAACAGATAAAGAGGGGCCATCATTATTCACCTTCTTACTGAGCCCTCCCACAGGCCGGGCACCCTGCTGGAGACGCACACAGTGGAGGAGTTATGGTTACCCTTCGTTTACAGGGGAGAAGACCGAGACCAAAGAGGTTAAGACACTTTCCCAAGGTCACACAGCCCATACCACACCTGGAGGAGATCTGAGCTCTATCAGCCCCCCGACGCCGACTGGGGTCCCCTACCGGACCATGTGGCCTCCGTCATGCAATTAAAACCCCGATCTTTTAAAAGCAAAAATACGCTTTCCTAAGAAATCACCTGCTCCCTGACAATCCCCGATACAGGTGCACAGGTTCTCACTGCAGCCCTGTTCCTACTACAAGATCCCGGAAACGGCCCGAATGGCCACGCACAGGAGCGCTTTGCCGCTGCCCACGGGGGTGAGCGCGCCGTCTGTGGGCCCACAGGGGCCGCACGGCAGGGTTGGCGCCGTGTGCAAAAAAGCAACGTGCAGAGAGAACCCGCAGTAAGCCACTCTCCGCGCAAGGCAGAAACAGAGCTCAGAACCCGTTCGCGGACCGGCCTGTATTTGCCAAAGGAAACACAGAAGGGCCTACAGCGATGGAAGAGGAAGTCTTAGTCCTTCAGGACCGCACGCGAAAGCATCCATGCACTTTCTTTTTTTTTTAGAGAGAGTGGAAGGGAGAGGGAGAGACAGAGAGAAACATCTACAAGAGAGAGACATATCCATCGGTCACCTCCTGCATGAGCCCCACCTCACCCAGGGCCGGGGATCGAGCCTGCAATTCGGTGCGTGCCCATGACCAGAATCGAACCCGGTACCCTTCAGTTCGAGGGCTGACGCTCCATCCACTGAGCCAAACCAGCCAGGGCTCCATGGACTTTGTCAGTAAAAAAAAAGAAAGGAAAGTACCTGGCCTTCTTCCGGAGCAACTTCTGAGACTCGGGATAATGCACCAGAATTTCATTCAGGTCCTTCTTGTCCAGAATGAAGAGGTTGGTGAAGCCGTGGGCCACCACGTTGGCCGTGCGCCGATTCCCGCCTCCAACGGCCAGCAGGCTGGGGTGGGGGAGGAGGGGGTGAGGCCCTTCGGGCTGTGGTTCTACTCACCCTACAGTCTTCCTCTCCACCCGTGTCCGCCCCACGCCGGTGAGAGCGTGTCACCGGCATATGTCGGCAGGTGCCGGGGCGGCATCCACAGGGCTCCCTCTGACCCCCAGGGCCCTGAGGATGAGGCCCACCCAGGGGTCCCCCCGCCAGCCCCCTCTGACCTTATTTCTCCGAATACGGATCCAGCTCTCAGCGTCACCAGCACTGACTTCCCGTCAGGGCCGCCCAAGACCTGCACCTGCCCCGCCTGGATGATGTACATCTCGCGCCCGATCTCCCCCTGAAACCGAGAAGGGGAAGGCCCCTCTGTCATTGTCAAAAGCGACCACAGACACAGCAGGACTGGGCCGGTGGCACGACCTGGTGTGTGTTGTGGGGCCTCGGCCTCTCCATCTGTGGATTGGGGAGAATGGCCCCCCCTCGGCCTGCCTCAGTGACAGGGTGGCGGTGGGGAGTCAGTGGGTGACGGAAAATGCTAGATGTCATGGGGCAGGTGTAACGGTGCTCTACAAATTCCCGTTATGCACCCCGATGAGGGCCCGGGCCATGGACAGTCTCGCGGTGCCTCAGACAATAAACTGATAGCTGCCCGGCCCCGGTGGCTCAGTGGTTGCACATGGACCTATGAACCAGGAGGTCACGGTTCGAGTCCCTGTCAGGCCACATGCCTGGTTTGTGGGCTTGATCCCTAGTGAGGGGCGTGCAGGAGGCAGCCAATCAATGATTCTTTCTCATCATTGATGTTTTTATTTCTTTCTCTCCTTCTCCCTTCCTCTCTGAAATCAATAAAAAAATATATTAAAAAAAAAAACCTTTAAAAAAAGGTTAGGTGGAAAAACCCACAAACAGCCATGCAAGGGCATCGTGTGCAGCTTTGCCCTGCCCCACCTCTACTCCCGCCCCCTTTCCCCATCGCAGGACCAAGATCCTGGCAACAGTTCCACCCACAGCTATGGCCCTGCCCCTCTTCAGGCTCCTCACGTCCCTTTTCTGTAAAGCGGGGCTCCTCGTCCTGGCCCCCACGATCCCGTGTCCAGGGAGCAAAGCCTGAGACTTACCTGAGTTCAGTGCCTGGAGCCGGACAAAGCCTCCTGTGCCACAGAACCAGGATCCCTGCGGCCGGCTGACCAGCGAACAGAGCTATGGCCACTCTTCCCATCCCTGCCAATCCCACCCTCCCTGCGGCCCACCCTCCCTGGGCCCTCACAGGCGCCCGCCCCCCCCACCCCCCCAGCCCAGCTCTCCACAGCCGGGGTCGGGGGGTAAATCCCAGCCGTTGCCGCCTCGGCCCTCACCTTCTTGCACACGTAGTCATTGGGCAGGTAGACGACAGAGCGCAGCCGCTTGAGCATGTCAAAGATCATCTGCCGGTCACAGCCCTGGTGGGGAGCAGCCAGGAGCCCGGTTAGAGGAAAGCGGGGGCTCGGGCCTCCCAGAGCCCGGAGGTGCGGGGTTGTGGCGGGGGGGTAGGAGGGGGGCGGGTACCTGGAAGAGCGCCACTTTGCTGACGATGTCGTAATTCACGTCGATGGCCAGGTCCAGCCGCATCTTGTCTGGAAGCTGCACCATCAGGTCTGACTCATCTGCAAACGAGACCCTGGCGACAGTCAGAGGCTCAGCCAGGCTCCTCCCCACCTCGTGGGCCTAGTCCACACTGCACCTGGCCCCGTCCACACTGCACCTGGCCCCATCTACACTGCACCTGGCCCCATCCACACTGCACCTCACTCTGTCCACACTGTACCTGGCCCCATCCACACTGCACCCGGCCACATCCACACTGCACCCGGCCCCGTCCACACTGCACCCAGCCACATCCACACTGTACCCAGCCCCATCCACACTGCACCCGGCCCCGTCCACACTGCACCCAGCCCCGTCCACACTGCACCTGGCCCCATCCACACTGCACCCAGCCCCATCCACACTGCATCTGGTTCCGTCCACACTGCACTTGGCCCCATCCACACTGCACCCGGCCCCGTCCACACTGCACCCTTCATTGCAATTGTCTGTACGCAATCTATCTTCCCTCCTCACACTATGACATCAGCAAGACCTCAGGTACCGAGAGGGAGCGCTGTTTTACGGAATGCTTTACGAAGATGATTCAGTCATTCTCCAGCAACCCAAGAGGCCCACTACTATAACCCCCACTTTTCAGGCCAGGACGGGGAGGCTGGGGACGCCCAGGGGGATGGACGCAGGAGCCCACCCAGGCCGTGGGCGCCAGAGTCTGTCCCGGGAAGGGAAGGGCCGAGCCTGCTTTGCCCACCAGGAGGTCTGTGGTGCCCAGCGGAGAGCCTGGCATGGATGGATGTTGGCCCTGGAGACAGGAAATGCACTACCGGTCCCCACCCTGATGCCCCGCCCACTGCACCGATGATTTATGGGCTCAAGCTCTGAGCGAGCCTGGGCCGGCAGAGCCCTCTGGCAATGTGCCCCCCTGGGAAAGGGGGTGAGATGCGATGCCACAAAGCTGTCACTGCGGGGAATGAGGGAAGCATCCCTTGTAAACTGTCGAGTCACAGGCACCAGCAACGGATAGTAACCAGATCCTGACACCCGTGGCCACAGACCGCCACGACCTTAGGCGCAGGTGTGGCTTCTTTGAGACCAGAGGGAACCCCACTGAGGCAACGGGCCCTTTTATTTGGCTGGAGAAGTTGGGGGGCTCCAAGGCACCATAGGGTGGCTTTCGGGCTTTCCAGAGGCCTCCAAAATCACGTCTAGGCTCTGAGAACAAAATGACTAGCTCCCAGAGCTAAAAAGGAAACTGGGGACATTTAAATAATTAACATATGATTAGCATATTCAGATTCCATTAAGGGTTCCCTCTAGAATCTGTGAAAACCTTTCTGCATCTGCAAGAAATTTCAGGTACGATTCCCCGCTTTGTAAGAATAGCTGAGCACACCCCACACCCTGACACGGACAAGAATGCAGAAACAGCAGTGAATTAAACGAATTGTAGCCAAATGATTTCAGAAGCAAAGCATAACATCAGCAAATTTACAAAGAAATCTATACATACGTGTGTCTATATTTGGAGACAAAGAGAGAGATTGAGAGAGAGAGAGAGAGAGAGAGAGAGAGAGAGAGGCTTCCTTTTCTCCTGACTCGGTTGTACTCCCATCTCCGATGAGCGCCCACTCCAAGGTGGGTGAAGTGAGGTGGGCAGAGCGCCCAGAAGACAAGCCCCTCAAGTCCCCAGGGCCTCCTGACGGCCCAGCCCCGGGCGCCCCACCAGCCTCCCAGGCCCCTCTCACTTAAATGTAGGGACTCAGACAACAGAGGCCCCAGGCTGGCCTCCGGGTCACAGGACGAGGGCAGGCCCAGCAGGGCGGGGTGCCTGCAGGGGGAGTCTTACCCAGCATGCCTTGGGAGTGCCAGGTGTACTCGTACCAGGTCTTGACGCGGTTCTGCACGGACCTGGGGATCTTGTAGAAGTTCATGTACTTCACGGTGCTGTCCATGCAGCTGCGGTAGTAGGTCTGCCCGGCCGTGGCGGCCCCCACCACGTCTCTCATCTGGAACAAGGGGGGGGGGGGGACGAGGAAGCCGCTGGGTCAGAACGGGGTGGTTCCATGGGCTTTGGGGACGTGGGACACGGGCACGTTTACTTCATACAGACCAGGGTGCAGTGGGAGTGCAGAGAGAGGGAGGCCCATGTCCACCCAGAGAAGGATTTGCTGGCGGGGAGTTCTGTCTCCAGTGCAGGAGGGAGGGGAGGGGGAGTAATGGGGGGTGAGGCCCCTGGGCGGCCTCAGGTCCCAGGGGCTGGGCTGATGCTGATACCACACAGCCGCTTGGTGCCAGGGGCACTGGGACCCCAGGCTGCAGGAAATATGCCCGGTGAGGGTGGGGCCCCTCAAAGGTAACTCTGAGGACCGCTGAGTGTCGCCTCCTGCACTGACACTGGAATGTGAGCTACGCCCCCAGCACATCCGAACCCCCGCCCCAGGGGTTGCTCTCTCCAAGGGCGCAGTTCCTCAGCCCCTGCAGCAACCATTCAGCCAGCTCTCCGGACTTCCCAGAGGAGGGGCATTTCCCAGGGAAGCCACCGCCCCGAGGGGATGGGCCCCAAGCCCAGGCTCAGGCTCAGTCTAAAAGGCCCAGGCACAGGTGGGCGCTCCCGCAGGCAGGCGTGGGCAGCCGGACCCGTGACCCAGCTACCTGTCCGATCATCACGGAGAAAGCGAAGACGCCCGTGAAATAGTTCAGCAGCTGGAAGACGATTTCAAACAGCGTCTTGGGGTCGGGCAGCCCGCCGATGGTGATGAGGGTCTTCACAGCCCAGTAGTAACAGCGGATGTAACTAAGGGAGGAAGAGGAAGGGCGGCTCAGGCATCACAGGCCCCGGTCCCCCGACCCAGGTGGCCTGGCCCTGACAGATGTGCTTGTGCGAGAAAGAAAACCCTGCCCAGCCGGGGTGGCTCAGTGGCTGAGCATCCACCTTTGAACCTGGAGGTCACGGTTCGATTCCCGGTCAGGGCACATGCCCAGATTCACGCTTGACTCCCAGTGGGGGGCGTGCAAGAGGCAGCCGATCCATGATTCTCTCTCATCGTTGATGTTTCTATCTCTCTCTCTCTTCCTCTCCCTTCCTCTCTGAAATGAATATATTTTTTTTTAAATGGAACACGGGCCCTGAAGCTGGACTTCCCGGGCGCAAACCCAGAGCTGCCACCCTCCAGCTGCATAACCTGGACCAAGCCTCAGCTTCCTTCCCTCCAGTGGGCGTGTTCATAGAAAACACCCGTCACAGGTGACCGTGAGGACAGCTGAGGTGCTAGAGCAGTGGTTCTCAACCTTCTGGCCCTTTAAATACCGTTCCTCATGTTGTGGCCCAACCATAACATTATTTTCGTGGCTACTTCATCACTGTAATGTTGCTACTGTTATGAATCGTCATGTAAATATCTGATATGCAGGATGGTCTTAGGCGACCCCTGTGAAAGGGTCGTTCGGCCGCCAAAGGGGTCGCGACCCACAGGTTGAGAACCGCTGTGCTAGAAGCACACCTGGCCCAGGTGGACTCTCGGGAAATGCCAGCCCTCACGTGCCTGCTCTGGGAACAATAGACTCCCGTGTCCTCAAGAAGTTCACCGTCTAGTGGGGACAGGCAAGCAAACACGTAATGGCGAGGGAAGCAGCGGTGGTCGGCGATGGTAGGGGAGGGCTCTCTGGCTCTGACCAGCTGGAGGCCTGGGCAGGGCTTTGAGCCGCCCTGTCCCTCATTTCCACCTGGGGCGGGGGGATCGCTGGACAACACAGGCCGGCCCTGTGGGGTCCCCTGTCCTACCAGTCCCGGCCACCAGAGGGCGCAGGAACAGCCTTTAGCCAGCGGGACTGAGCAAGGAAGCGGGGAGCTGCTGAGCCAACAGGAAGAAAACAGGCGTGATGTCCTCAAGCCTCAGCCTCTCCCCAAACCCTTCCTGGCGGGAGGGCCCGTCCACTGGCTGGCACATCTCAGGGGGCTCCCTGAAGCCTTGTCTTCCATGCTACCCGGGCTGTGGGGACCCTGCAGGACAAAGGGCCAGATATGTCGGAACTTGGGTCCTCAAGCCCCAGCCCATAGCAGACGCTCGACGAACGGTCGCTGTTATGAGTATTATAATGATCCGTGGTATTGGGCTTCTGGACTCGTAGGGGAGTCCTCCTTCGCTGCTGGTGCTTTGGCCATATATCGGGGTTCCCCGTAGGATTTCCTTTGGAAAAGAGCAGTGTTGCCAAAAAAGGGGTGCCCTCCACGCTGAGCACCGAGAGCTCCCGGGGGCCCTACAGGAGGAAGGCCCTGTTCTCCGCTCCCTGCTGGCCACTCCTCCCTGTGCCCGCGATGGCGGTGCCAGGCCCAGCCCCAGGACGTGGGTCCATAGCTTGTTGGGGTACAGACGCCTCTGAGAATCTTAGTAAAGCCAGGGACTTCTCCTTCGAAGAGCCAGTATGTCCCACACATCTCACTTGCACCTGTGTCTCAAGTGCTCGGTACCCCGTGTGGCTAGTGGCTCCTAGTGGCTCCAGTATCGGACAGAGAAGGCCTAGAACAGCGGTTCTCAACCTCTGGGTCTCGACCCCTTTGGCGGTCGAACGACCCTTTCACAGGGGTCGCCTAAGACCATCCTGCATATCAGATATTTACATTACGATTCGTAACAGTAGCAACATTACAGTTATGAAGTAGCCACGAAAATAATTTTATGGTTGGGCCACAACATGAGGAACTGCATTTAAAGGACCACAAGGTTGAGAACCACTGGCCTAGAAGGTGAGGCTGGAACTGCTCAGGTAGGGAGGCTGCTGGGCAACCAGGCCCCGCCTACCTTCCCAGGTCATTCCACACCCTGCCTCCTCCCCCTCGGAGGACACAGACTGCACGCAGCTCCTTAACTCCATTGTCCTGCAACTCCACACCTTTCTTCACGGTGCTCCCTCCCCCAGGCATGGTCTGCCCCTTCTCTCCACCTGCCAAGGCCAAGATCAAATGCAATCTTTCCGAACTGACCTTCTCGTTCCACCTCCGCAGCCCCAGGCAGACATTTGTGACACTGTAGCCACCCCGCCTGGGTTCAAATCCCAGCTCTCTAACTTAGGAACTGCGCTGCCCGCAGAGGTCGCTGCACACCTGTTACCTCGTCTGTGAAACGGGGCAATGATAGCACCTCTCTGTGTGGTTGTTGGGAGGATTAAGTGAGTGACTGTGTTAGCAGGGCTGGTACCTTATAACTGCTCTGCGGTTCCTGCTATTATTACTATTATTATTATCATTGCCATCACCAACATCATCATCATTTGATCATGTCCCACAGTGTATGGCAGCTCTCTGGATGGGCAAGTAGGTTTATTCTTTTTTTAAAAAAATATTTTTAAAATTTATTTCAGAGAGGGAGGGAGAGGGAGAGAGAGATAGAAACATCAATGATGAGAGAGAATCATTGATTGGCTGCCTCCTGCACACACACACCCCCACCGGGGATCGAGCCTGCAACCTGGACATGTGCCCGACAGGGAATCGAACCGTGATCTCTTGGCTCAAAGGTCAACGCTCAACCACTGAGCCATGCCGCCCGAAGGGAAGTAGGTTTCACCTTGTTGGCCAACCCTCGCGGGGCCAGGGACGCCCCGGGAGCTGTGCTGAGGTTTCTGCGGCCTCGTTCCCGCTCAGCTGTGCCCTTAGGGCACCCACCCCAATGCACAAGTGCGGGGACTCTGCCAACTCGGCTAGACTCCGGGATCCCAAAGGGTCTCTCCAGCGGGTCTGGCTCGGGTCTGTGCCCCTCTGCCTGGCACGCGGCAGGGGCTCAGATGTTAGCTGAGCGGGGACGGGAGCCGTGGCCCCTCCACCTCATCACGGTGGCGGTTCCTTGGGATGGAGGAGGCCTGGGGAGCATGCGGGGATGGGGCTTGTGTATGGGAGTCCCTGTGCGAGGAGGATGGCCCAGGAGGAAGGCTGGCTCACCTGTTTCCCACGCCATCGTACACCCAGTGGGTGGAGCCAATGCCCTGATAGGCCGATGCCCAGTAATACAGGCACGAGTTCAAGTGCAAGCTGTAGAGCAGGTAGGCGGTGGTCCTGATCACCCTGCCAGGGAAGGAGAGGCGTGAACATGGCAGCGGGGAGGGTGGCCGTGACATTCACCAGGGGCAGGCGCGTAGGGAACAGGCCGACCTCCCCTCTCCGGGCACCCACCCCACAGACGCCCCCGTGGGAGCTGCGTGGCCTCGCCCAACTGCCTGGGGGCGGTCACTGGCCAGTAGGGACAGCACAGGAGCCAATGCACGGAGCCGACCGGACTCTCTTTGGAGACCGCGCGCTGGAGTGGTGGCTCGGGACAGCGCTGTCAAGACCAGGGCTGGTTTGGCCCAGAGCGGCCTGTGCACACAGTCCTGGGCAGTGCGTCCGTGGGCAGGGGCAGAGGAGGGACAGGGTGTGCAGAAGTGCCAGTCCACGAGAGAGGGGAGAGGACCTGTCCCCAACCTGCCCTGGCTGGCCATCCTTGGACATCCACCCGATGGCCCGCTGTGTCCTTGCTCCCGGTCCCCCAGGATTTGAGCGATTGGGGCGGGGGGGGGTCAGTTCCCTGAGCTGAGACCAACATGAGGCTTCGCTCCCTGGAAACAGGGGTGAGGCATGCGTGCCGACCGAGGTGTTCCCTTCTCACAATCGCGGGAAACGGGACATCCCTGCTCCCCTGAAACACAAACATCCCTCCGAGGAGGGCCAGGAAGGGGCCCGGCTTCCGGCCGTGCTGAGGCCTGCAGGCCAGGGGAAGCGTGGGTGGAGGGTGTGTGTGTGTGTGTGTGTGTGTGTGTGTGTGTGTGTGTGTGTGTCTCACCTATAAACGTAGGCTTTGCTGAGGATGGATTCCAGGCGGTTGTTGAACTCGAAGAAGGCCATGTACTGGAGGGAGAACAAGGCATCAGGGCAGCCTGCGGTCCATGGGTGACACCCCGCCCTCACGCTGTAGCCCAGTTCCCCCAGGGGTGCCAGGACTCGGGAGGCGGCTGGAGAGGGGACGTTCAAAATCACAGGTCCTGCCTGGCTGGTTTGGCTCAGTGGCTAGAGCGTCGGCCTGGGGACTGAAGGGTCCCAGGTTCGATTCCGGTCAAGGGCATGTACCTTGGTTGCGGGCATACCCCCAGTAGGGGATGTGCAGGAGGCAGCTGATCGATGCTTCTCTCTCATCGATGTTTCTAACTCTCTATCCCTCTCCCTTCCTCTCTGTAAAAAATCAATAACATATATATTTTTTAAAAAATCACAGGTCCTGAGTCCTCGCAGGGTCAGGACCAGAGACTCCAGTTACTAATCCGGTGGCAACCATGGCGCCTCTCCCTCTGAAATTTCATGCCATCATGTCCTGACAGCTTAATCTCAGGGGCCTCCTAGACCTTCTCACTCTGATCATGAGCCTTGGAGGGGCCCCTGTGTCCCAGGTAAGGACACTGTTGTCAGTGTTACCTTAGAAAGAAAACAATCTCATAGCGAACCGTGTCCCTAACGCCCTCACTTACACCCTTTTTTTTCTAACAATAAAAGTAACCACAACAGCCGCTCGCTGTGCTGAGCACCTTCGACCACCTCACTGTACAGTGACGAGCGCGGGGGTTGGGGTGCGGACCCCTGTGCAGTCGAAAATCCGTGTGAACTGAACTACTAACAAACAGCCTACTGTGCCCGGAAGCCTTGCCGATCACATAATCAGTTGATTTGTACCTATTTTGTACGTTGTATGTATTATACACTGTATGTCTACAATAAAGGATGCTGGGGAACAGAAAATATTATTAAGAAAGTCATAAGGAAGAGAAAATACATTTATAGTAATCTATGTATTTATTTGTAAAAATCTGCATATCAGTAGACCCACGAAGTTCAAATCCATATTGTTCAAGGTCAGCTATATATATATGTGTGTATATATCTGTCTCTATAGCGATAGATATGTTACCTTAGCACATGTACTGCATGTGCCGTATGTATTAGCATTCTCCTTTTACAGCGAGGAAACTGGCTCTCAGTCCTTACCCAAAGCACACAGGCAGGAAGCGACAGAGCCAGGGCTCGAACCCAGATCGGACTCGCCCTGCCTCTCTGAGGGGGACACCCTCCCTGCACCTCCCGCTCCCAGTGCTGCCGGGGCGAAGCCACCGGTCCTACCTTCAGACAGCGGGGCAGCCGCAGGAGGGGGTTCACACCGAACTTCAGGTAGAGCAAGTCCAAGGGCAGCAGGCACAGCAGGTCCATCTGCAATCCCAGCGGGCAGCACAGCGTGTGCAACAGGAAACCCAGGGCTGGGAGGGGGTGAGCGATGGGGCCTCTCCCCTCAGCAGACAGGTGCGCTCAGGAGGCCCAGGAGGGCCTAAGCGTAGAGCAGAAGGCCTCCCACCCACAGGCTGCTGACTGCCCAGCCCGTGCCAGCCTGGGGAGCCACGTCCCACCTGCCCCGGAGCACCCAGGGCCCCTGAGGTACCACCTTCATCCCTGCACACACCTTAAAGCGGGGAGACTTCAGGTAGTTATTGCGCATCTCCTTTTTGTCTGTCTGGAAGGAAATGGAATCATGACCGAGAAATGGGGAGCAGCGATGGAAGTCCCTAATGACCCCCCCCGCCGACCTTTCTATCAGAGTTGTAGCCCCTGGACAAGGAGGAGCCAGAACGGAGCAGCTGTGCTCAGGGAAGCCTCCGGGTTCCTAGGTGGGGAGGGGGAGCCCCCAGCCACCCACTCCGCCTGCCGGTGACTCACAATGATGTCCCCGCCCCTGACAAACTGCAGGCGCATCTGGAACACGGTGATGTCCAGGAAGTAGATGAGGTCGCACAGGTAATCCATCAGCAGCCAGAAGTAGAGGTTGCCCGGCGTCTGGTAGGGGAAGGCCCAGCGCACAGGGATCAGCCAGCAGTTCCAGTTCCAGGCCAACACCACGAAGAACAGCCACAGGATGTACATCAGGTCTGCGGGGCGGGAGGGGCCGGGGCGGCCAGAGCCTTAGCCAGTGCGATCAGGTGGGGCTCTCTGTGTTCCACTTGTCTGTCTGCACTTTCCTAGAAGCACTAAGTAAGTGTGACACTCCTATAACTCGGAGCGGGGAAATCTAGTTCCTGCCTTAGTAAATACACAATAGTAAGTAATGCACAGCAGATGGACAGATGGATACACAGACATGTGGATGGATGGATGGATGGATGTATGTGTGGAAGGATGGATATATGGGTGGATGGATGGATGGATGGATGGATGGATGAGTGGATGGGTGGATGGATGGATGGATGAGTGGATGGGTGGATGGATGGATGGACGGACAGATGGGTGGATGGATGGATGGATGGATAGATGGATGAGTGGATGGGTGGATGGATGGATGGATGAGTGGATGGGTGGATGGATGGATGGATGGACAGATGGGTGGATGGATGGATGGATGGATCAGTGGATGGATAAATGGATGGATGGATGGATGGATGGATGGATGGATGGACAGATGGATGGATGATGGATGGATGGGTGGATGGATGAATGAATGGGTGGATACCATAGGTCACCTGGTCATTTTAGAAGCCCAGTGGACACCAGTGTCCCCCAAATGACTGCCTGTGTGACCTTGGGGAAAGCCCCTCTGTGGCACCTGCCCTGCTCTGAGGCTCAGGCCTAAGAGGTCAGATAAGAAAGGCAGGAAGATTCTCTGTAAACTGTAAAGAGCCGCGCACACATGAAGGACTGTCACTCCTGAGGAATAGTAAATGGGCTAAAAGGGGATT